TATATATTATATTATTATATATATATATATATATATATATATATATATATATGCATTATTATGTTTAAAAATATTGTTAAAATAAAATTCATTATTAAGATCATTAAATAAAATAATAGAATTCATCATTTCTTATTTTATAATCTCTATTTTTATGTAGAAATGTTTTTATATAAATTTAATATGAAAAATGAATCATCTTTTTATAAACTTTTTATAAACTTTTTATATTTTAGGAAATTAAATTAAATTTTCTTTCAATAATAAAAAAATAAAAATAGTATTGTCTTTTGTAGCAGCTACAAAACCAGTGCTTATGGCATCTCAAACGACACCTTCTTCCCAAGTAGTACCTGCAAATAAACAAACATTATTGACGAAATCTTTGCATGCTAGAGCTTCTACAGGGCAATGCAGTCAGCAAACTCAAAATCTTGGAGTAACGACATTATCACAACAACAAGTATATATTTTTACATTATTAATATAAATTATTATTATTAAAAACGAATGTTATAAAAATATATATATAAAAAGTATATTATTTCAATTATTATAATTAAACTTATAAAATAAATTAAATGTTATTTATTATATAGTTACAGAGAACTCTTGTCAAACCTGTACAGCTCCAACAATTACAGTGTTTAACTACACAACATAAAGTAGCAGTTGCAACCAGCAATTCACAAAACAGAACTCAAATTGAGCCTCAGAGAAATTCTACATCTGCTCCTGGAGAAGACCCAGCCTGAACATGTTCAAATAATTAATATTTCATTATATTTAAATAATTGGAGCCTGCCTATAAGGAATAATGAGGTGTTTGTATATTAAGTTAATATGACATTTAAAAATTTTAATTATGCATGCAATTATAATTGTAAATTGTAAAATTTTTATTCATGAAAGATCAATGTTTATCAGCAAAGACATATTTTATAAAAATCAACATATTATATACTTGTGCGCATGTGCAATAAATTATTTCTACAAAAAAAAAAAAATAAAAAATATAGAAAAAAGGAAGAAAAAAAAAACGGAATTTTGCCTCAAAATATTACTTTGAAGGCGGTTTCAATTATTGTACATATAACTTATACATACGAATATGATTTGTTTTATATTAAAAAATATAATAAATATTCCATTTTTTATTGACCTCGACCCTTTTTTTATATTCTTGCTATTTATTTCAAATAAAAATTTTTTCTAATATACATATATTCTTTTTAAAAAAAATGTATCTATCAAATTAAAAATGATAAGTAATAAGTATTAGTTTTCGAGTATATAAAAATTAAAAATATATATAATATAATTTAATATATTTTTTTTTATTCTAAATTAATACAGTAAATATTGTATAATTTTTTACAAAAATTAATTTATGTCATAAATTTAAATAATTGCTTCACAAGTACTCTCTTGATTGATTAGGGAAGGTGTAGCAATAATCTGGTTTTAAATTAAATATTAATAACATAATATTACTACGACGATAATTTTTTTTTTTAAATTAAATTTTTATTAAAATATGTATTAGATTTTTATCATTAAAATATAATACGACCAAACAATATAAGTTATATTTATATATTTCATAAATTAAAAAAATTTAAAAAAAAATTATTTAAATACGTTAAATATGCAAATATCATGTATATTTGTACATCATAAATATGCAAATTGTATTATGTTTAACCTTATTTTAATCAAATAAAACTTATAAATATATGATAAAAAATTAATTAAAAATATTAAATATGAAAAAATTTCATAATAATGGGATTTCAATTGTTGTTATTAATTGGATTAATATTGCCTTAAGAATTTATTTTTTTCAATTATCTTGATTGTCGATTATTTTTTTTTTTTTATTTTGTTATACTTTTTTATATTCGGCAAAATGTAAGAATGAATTTTGAAACTCATCACATTGAAAATAAAATACATGTTTATTTATTCAATATTTACTGTATATTAATTATATATACATATTTAATCTGCAGCCTAAAGATAATTATAAATAAGCAACTTTTTTTTTATAAATCTTTATATTAATTGTAACATATATAATTAAACATATAAATTGTGTTATTAGTTATTGTTAAAAATTGCTAATAATAGTTATTGTTACTTATTATATAATTATATAATAGCATTTAATATAATATTTTTGATAGAAAAATTTTATTTTTTAATCATAATTAATTATTCTTAATAACAAATATCATAAAAACTTTGTATATTAGTTAGCATTCAGTTCCAGCTGTATGCAATTACAAATTTTATTTTTCTTAGTTTAATTTAAATAATTAATTTCATAATTTATTTAAATATTTATTATAATCAATAATTGCATGATTAATTTGAAAATGCCCTAGTTTTAGTAAAATATATATGTATAAAATTTTTAATAATTTTGTATGGAAAATATAATAGAATTAGATCAAAAAAGAAAATAAAAAAAATAACTTACTTAATTTTCATACAGAGTAACAAACAATAATTTAATATTCAATAAAACAAATGTTTTTCATGTACATTTCCATTATTATCAGTCTCTTCTTTGAACATCTATCCTATTTAAAGTGCAAGTATTTAATAACAATGTTAAATATATTTTACTAAAATGTATTAATAATAAACTACTATATATGTTTCGTTAATTTGTTAAAAATTCCTTTATATACATTTATATCACATTTTCATATTGCTTACACTATATCTTTTATTTATAGTGCATAACACAGATTATAAACTATAAAATTGCTAAATTATAAACTTGCAGCTTTCGTTTTATAAAAGTTTTTGTTTTAATTGTTCTAGATAAATGTTTAAATATTATAAAAAATTATCAATTTTGAGCATTAGTATTAACTTTTTCTATAATAGCACCAATATCATTGGTTATAAAAGTATATTGACTATACATATAATTGACTATAAATAATATAACAACAATATATTATTATGTACATATACTCACATATCTTACTTCAAATAAAAAAAAATTTTTTACTTTTAATTTTTAATAATGGTTAATCTACTTCTAATCGAGTAGTATTGGATGATTTGGAAATTTTTATTGTTTGTAACTCTTTACTTATTTCCCATTCACTCTCTGGATCAGAAGATGTATTCAAGATACCCAAAATATCATCTTCTAGAGACATTTCTGATAAATTTTCAATACTTTGTTGATTTACATCAGATTCTGTTGCAACTAAAAAATAATTCTTTTTGTCTTATATTAATAATTATATGACAGATATAAATAAACAATAATTAAAGCAAATTACCATCATTAAATGTATGTTGAGATAACCAAGTAGGTTCATCCCATTCATCAAATTGTAATTTTGTATTATTTTCAACTTCTTCTATGGATAACATTGCATGTGATTCAGAATCCGTAACATCAAATATCTCTGTGACTTGTACTTTGTTGTTATCATCCATATAATAGTATGCCATTACAGCTTCTTGATCAGAAGTTACCTAAATATTTAAAAAAAAATATAAATCGAATTCTATTTTAAAAAAGATTAATAATTTTTTAAGATATATTTTTAGAATATACATATTTTAAATTAAAAATTAATTATTAATAAATTTAACAATTAATGATTAAAACAATTTATTAATATATTTATGATATACCTGAAGAATATTTTCAAATGTATCATCAGTTGAAAGATTAGACATATTTATAACACAATTTGATGTATTAATATGATCTTTCCATGGTTGTCTAGAAAATATAAATTAACAGATAATAAAAAATAATATTTATTAAAATTAAAAAGTTTTAAGTTATTAAAATCTATAGACTTACAATTCATTATATTGTAATGTTAAATTTAAATTTTTTTTATTTTTATATAAATTATCAGTTTTTTCTCCTGCTTCCATATCATATATATCTGAAAAATTTAATGTTAATAATGTTAATAAAATTTAATTATTTTGCTACAATTAAAATATAAAATATATAAAAGATTATATTTACTTGAACCATATTCTGTGATAGCTAATTGACATTTAATAGTCTGTGGCATTTGTTGGTAATAAACATTGATTTTAGGAAATAACATATTTAATTGATTTAAGAAAAATTTTTTAAATTCTAATAGATTTCTTTGTAATTTAGGTACATTCAAAATAAATCTGAAAATAAAATAAAATATTAATATTTAATTTAATTAGATAAAAATATATTATATATAAAATATATAGAAAAATACACAGAAAAAAAGTATAAAAAGAAAAAGTTATTATGGCTTTTTACATTAAATATAAATAAACATGCATATATCTTAAAACATAAATAAATAAATGCATAATATACAAATACATGAACATATAAAATGGAATTTTCTGAAATTTTTATTTATAATAATAGATATCTTGTTTATAATAATAAAATTAAAATAAAACTTTTTATTATTTATTCACTATATAAATAAATCTCAATTTATATATATTTTTCAATTTTATTTTTTATGGTTGAATATTTAATAATATAAAAGCCATTTTACAGAGCAATATAATATAAAAATATGCAAAGCTTTTTTAAATAGCAAAACTTAAAAAAATGCAAAGCTTACCGAGAAGGTGTCATATGTTTAGCACAAGAAATCATCTGTGGAGGTGTATGAAGAATATTGCCAATTATATTGTATTCCAAGGTATGACTTTCTATCTTGTTACCAATCAGACTATGATCACATGCATAATGTTAAATGTGATATTATATTATATATAATCATGATATTAAAAAATAAATATAAAAAAATACATGATTACAAATAGATAATTAAAATATATAGAAAATTATATTTTATCAATTGTTGATGAAAATTTTTTAGTAAAATATGATTTTAATATATAAAATGAAATTTAAAATATGTAAGCTTAATTTCTAATAATATCAAGCATCAAAATTAATAACTAACATTAGTTATAGAAAAAATGAATTGATTTGTAATTTATTATAATAATTTTTGAATATTAATTTTTAATTTAAATATAAATATATAATATATTATTTTACTAACATATATAATTATATCATAAAAATTAATTTTATTACATGCAATTTAAAGCAATCAGCTTGTTAGTCAGTTACCATACAACATATCAACTCTTAATTTTATAAAATTATATATCAGTTTCAAATAAATTACATACATTGTATTAGCATCAGACTTTATTTATTAATCAACATTCAACACATTGAAATGAAGTTATATTTAAATTGATATTGCACAATTTGCATTATGAAACTAGGAGTCAATATGTTTCAATGTATATAAGCTTTTAAAAGATCATTGCTCATTTGACTATTTGCTGCTCTGTCTAATTGACAATTAGTATTTGCATATTTATATTAATAACATATTCTAATAAATATAATCTAATTTAATAATAATAGCAGAACATCAGTATCATCAATAACAATATCATACTGTTTCGTTAACAATCTCAATTTTGCCAATCAAGATTTTTAGTCAATTGTTTGTTGCTTACATAATAAATGTTTATTTATTTCATCTTTTTACAAAATACATAATATTTTTCTTAATGTAGACAATTGTTAGTTATTAAGTATGTTACTAAGTATAATATTATTGCGAATATACTGATGCCAATTAGATTCTGTTCCAATAATGTTGTCAAATGAGTGATGATTTTAATGTTCCCATGCTTACATTTGGTTACATTTAAATAATGGATAAGGAAGATTTTTAATTTTTAAGTATTGATGAAAAAATTTCAAAAGGACAGATAAATAAAATAGAAAAAATATTTTCGTAATAAAAAATAGTTCATGCATATTAGTTTCTTATTGATCTATTTACTTATAAATATATCATTTACATATATACTTATATAATTAAATAGTAAAAATAGAATATACGAAATAAAATTTAAAAAGATAAAAAAAAAAAAAATCAAATTATATATATAATACATAACTTACTTTGTAAAAGTTGCATACACAACATCTGCTGGCAATGTACATGGTAAACTAAGTAACGACAAAAGTTTTACACTTCGATGTTTAAATAACCAATTAATTAAACCTTTATTAGCTGAATCAATTGCATCTTGAAATATGGTCATAACTGTTTCAGGTAAATTAGATACCAATGCTTCCTATAAAAAATATATGTATAAAATATATATAAAATTTACAAAAAAATTTTTATTTTATACAATTATTTGTATATTATATTCATCATTACTTAATTATAATTAATATTATTATAATAATATATTAATAATTAAAAATTATTAATATATATATTTATGTACCTGTCTATGCATTTTACATTCTAAACATTCAGGATCATAATCCATATTATCATCAAGAGTTTCTGAAACAACAAATGTGGATTGTACTGCTAAACATCGAGTACAATTAAGTAAATTATTACGATGAAGAAATCTTAATGCATCATCAAATCCCTGTTTGCACATATTTGAAAGTATCTGTAAAAAATTTTTAATAATATTACAACTATTTATGCTACTAAATAATTTTATTAACATAATTTGATATTATTAAAATTTTTTATTATAAAAAAAAAATAAAATAGATATAAATGAATTATAGTGCTATATATATATTAATTATAATAATATATACATATATAATATGTAAGATTAAATTATCTTTATAAGCAATTTATACAATTTTATTCTATTAATTAATAAAATTACCTCTGTATTTGGTGGAAAAAGTATTCTTGCAAACCTATATATGTTTTGTCTTGAAAGTTCTATACTTGTATTTGCAAAATTGACCTATAAATTACAAATATTATTTTAATCTTATATTCTTATATTAATTAAAATAATCTTAAAACATATTCTTTTGAAATTATTTAAACAATCATACTATGTTAAAATAATAATAAAATTTTATAAAAATAAAATAATAATAAAATAATTAAAAAAATTTTTTAATAACATACATGGAAAAGTTGAGAAGAAACATCTCTAGGGCAAATATCACTTTCTCCACAAAAAGGACTTATAGTAATAGTATTTTCATCAAGTGTTGGAAGATTATCACTAAAACCACCATCCATGTATCTAATACCATGAAATCTTGGTGGTAAAAGACCAGAAAAAATGGGAACAAATGCACTGGCCAATAATGCCTATGAAAATGAAATTTAAATATATTTTAATTCTATATTAATAAACACTCAAAAAATTGCATAAATAATAATAATTATAAATATAATATATGATTTTATTAAATTCAAATAAATAAATAAAATAGAAAATATAAAGTAAAATATTATTTTTTTACTTGTAATAAGTCTTCTCTAGATGAGAATTGTGAAACAATTACATTTTTTCCATCGTATACTCTTGTTAAGGAAACATGAAGTTTACCACTCACACGAATATGAGCATCATTAGGAAGAAACTATAATACATAATATTTTTATATTCATTAAAAATATTAATAACATTAATTGATTTTAGCTTCTACTGTTTTATGCAATAATTTTGAAAAATGCAAATATTATATATGTGTTGTTTTTCATTTTCGAAAAATTGAATATTTATATTTAATTGAATATTTATATTTATTTAATATTATTATTAATATTATGTACCTTTTGTAAACTTTCTAATAGTATTTCTTGTACATTAAATGATGGACTAAATGGACCAAGAGTTCGTTGACGTGCTTCACGTGCAACGCGTAATACATTACTTGTGATCTCTCCTATAAATAAATATATTTTTGAAGTTGTTACATGAAAATTATAATATATAAATGTATAATATATAAAATATAATATAAATTAAATTATGAAAATTAATCTTATTAAATTTAAAAATAAATTATCTTAATAATTTCATTTAAAATGTTTTCTTTTAAATATGAATTTCATTTAAATTATATGTAAGGCAACATAAGTACAGAATAAATTCCTCTGAAACTTGTAGATATGTGATTGCGACATGTTTTTTTAATTAAAAGATTTAGATTAATCATTTATAGTGTAATAATTTTTAAACTTAAATAAAATAAAATATCTTCTTTTTTGTAGGTTTATTAATATTTAGATATTTACAATCTTTAAGAAAAATAATTCATGTTTTATTGCCTAATCTATAATAAAAAAAGTAGTACAATATAATAATATAATAGTAAAAATACTACATTAAAAATTATATTATCTTCAATATATAATTTTATTTGAAAATTTTATTCAAAATAAAAACAAATCATTTAACTTAATATATATATATTACTTTTAAATTTTTTAAAATACATTATTTATTTAATAAATTACACTTAATTTCTATTTCTACATATATTTTATTTTTTATATTTATAATACTTCATTTTTTCTTCAAAAATTTTTTGATATTTTAAGTCAATATATTTTTTCAAAAAAATTTATATTTTGATATCTTATATAAAGCAAAAACAAAAATTATTTTATATATCTCATCATAAATATTATAATATATATAATATATATATAATATTCAATATATAATTAAATTGAAATAAAATTAATTAAAAATTATATTTTATAAAAAAAATTAAATTAAAAATAATGTATTTCATATATTTATATATTTTTGCATGTCAAAATTTCTTACAATATTATTTTTAAACTTTGTATAATATTATTGTTATAATTAATTTAGAACTATATGTATGCATATTGATTGAGGATTTCATAAATTCTTATAATAGACTTTTATATAAAAGATTTATATCATAATTTTTACTCCATTCTATAATTTATATCTATAATCTAATAATAATATATCTATTATCTATAAATATGATGATGTATCTAAAATTTTATTTTGTTCAAAAATTTTATTAATAAAGATATAATTATTATTTAAAAAATTATTAAAC